TCATCAAAATACCCACATAAATAATCATATTAAAATCATGGTAATTACATTAACATATAACCCATGTGAATAATCTTGATAATAAAGTCAAATATGAACTTGGCACAATTGTTCACAAGTATTAAATGTTCGTACAAATTGGCATAAGTGCCCGCATATATATTTTTCACATATTTACTACATATTTTCATCTTTACAATTACAATTATAGTCTTAAACATAACCATTAATCACTCAAGTGGCATAACAATAATGAAATACATGATTAATCTCTTCCTCACTTCTCCCTTATTTCCTTTAACATAAAATCCGTGAGATAACAACTGAAAAGGATCATCCATATGATGAAATTACTTAAGGCCTTAATCATATCATAAGGGGCTACCAGGTCGGGGCTACCTTGCTCACTCATGAATATGGTTTTTTTTTCAAATCACACACTATGAGGTGTTATATCCAAAACTAGTTCTACCCAAAACTCCAGGTAAGCCAATTAGGTTAAGTTCCTTCATAGGAATAATGCTATAGTACCCTATAAGGTAAGTAGTGACTATAACCCCTATAATTAATGGTTAATAGCCAAGTATTATATGAATTTTGCATAACCGCTAGTTCATTTCTAAGGCAAACTCTCACCACACAATTATGCTCATGGGAAAATATATTTCAATAACTCTCATATACATAATTTATAATTATCCCACATATTCATAAATTTTCATGCTCAAGAAGCATCTGAAATCATCATGTCTTAGTCATGTCTCATACATTAATTTTTATATTACCATGTAAATCATATTAGCATCATAAAAAAACTCAACATGCTCCTATACAATTCATCACCGTGTATAATCTATAATTTATAATCAAGAGTATCTACATCATCATCAATTCTCAATCTCATTGTTCAAATCATGTCACATTATCCCATGAAAGCATAGATTAACATTAATATTCCACGTTACAAACAAGCTTTCATTATTCATTTATTTTTCTCCACATATGGCCATCATATTCAAATTCTTTACGTGTGCCACAATTAAATTATCATAAATTATAGAATCTCAACAACATCACATATGTTAACAACAATAATTTCAAGATTTGGTGATATATATATATATATATATATTTGTTTTACAAATATAAACAAATAATTAACATGCAAATGTATAAAATAATTTTTTTTTATTACCTCAACTTTTGAGAAGTCAAAAGTTACCTCACAAATCAAAACTTCTAAAGCTTTTTAAAGTTTAAATAGTGCCAAATGACAATTAATCTACAATTAATCATATCACAATATATCATTAATATTATTAACACAATTTTCACTCATATTTCAATATTTAAGTATTTTTATTTTATTTTTTTAAGACTTAATCTTAGCCTCTTAAATTTTAAAATTTAATTTCATATATTTGAACCTATCAACTTGGTTTAATAGCCTCCTTCGTAATAGTTTCATTGAAGTTTTGACTAAAATTATCCTTCAAACCATTTTCTATATCAAAATTTTTATTTTTATTCCATAAATTCACACCTAAAAATACTCAAAAATCACAAACTTAATTTCAAGTCTATAATTATTATTTTATAGCCATAATAATCTATTTCTCATTTCAAATAATCATCTAAACATCAACAATTCAACTTATATGATTTAACCAAAAATCTAACCATAAGAGTTTAGGATTTAATTCAAAAGCTTCAAATTCAAATTCCATCACCAAAATAATATTTTAAAATATTTATTATACTACCAACAAACTTAACAATCATATTTATTCATTATAAATCTATCTCTCTTTTAAATTTTAGATTTTTCATAACTTCAAAATCAGAAAATAAAAAAAATATAACTAAAAAAATATTCAAAACACTTATATAATCTTAAAATACTTAAAATTTTCTCTAAAATATTCCATTAGGAAGCCTGATGTTCAAAAGTAGCTCCTGCCGATGGACTTGCGCACGCTCTGTTTTCTTTTGTTTTGCTCTTCCCTGTCGCGCGCGAAGACAAATGGAAAAGGGAAGGGAAATGAAAAGGAAAGTTGACGTGTGTTGTTTTTCAAAAAAAAAGTGTGGGTCCCGACCCTTTCTTCCATCATCGGAATTGCATTTGGTGCTCATAGCCCTTTATTTTTTTTAAATGATATCTGCCGTTGGTTTAAAATTATTTTTAAAATATTTTTATATTAAATTTATCAAAATAAAAATTATAAAGAATTATAATATTTAATATGAACTGTTAATAATATATCAAGATGATCGATTAATTAAAATTATCAAATATTTAATATTAAATTAAAATTTTAAAATTATATCTGTACTATCCATAATACATCTGAATAATTAATTTATAAAATTATTTAAAAATAATATTAAATTGAATCATTCAGATTAAATTTGTACTAGTCAGATTGGTGATAAACAAATTTATTAAAGACTTTTATATTTTTTAAATATTTTTTATTTTAATAAATATAAAATAAATATAAAAAGCTTAAATTTAGATGATCTAGATCTTGTCGAGGTGATGAATACAGTAATATTTATACTTTAATAATATAAAAAACAGTCCCTATTTAATATTATAATTTTTTATCATTTTTATATATTTTATTTTTATAAATATAATATTAAAATGTTTAAAAAAAATTATATCAATGGCAAGGATCATTTGAAGAAAAATAAAAGGCCCAAATCATCAATTAAGGTGATGAACGTGTGGTGCTCATCAGGAGTAATGAGCACCAATGCGTTTACCTCTCATCTTCCTTCCCATCCTCTTCCTCTCCTTTTCTTAATTTTTAATCATTATATCAAGATTTTTGATAATCTAAATTTGGTCTCCTTCAATTTACTTGTATTGTAGTTTTAAATTGTTCTCATTAAATTTTAGTAGCTTGAATTTTTTATATTTTTATAGTTTAATATTTTAATAATAATTTTATAGGAAATTGAATCTAAATCATTTAAATTTTGATCTAATGGCTATAAAGAAAAAAAAATTGAAGAGGATAGGAACAAAGAGGAGAGAATTGGCATCCCCCCACTCTCTCAATATATATTCCCTTTTTTCTTCTCTCATAATAATAATTTCAAAAAAATCTTCACTAGAATTATATTTCAAATTAAATTTTATAATCATCTCCTAAATAATTTACTTATCTCTAAATATTTTTAATATTCTTATTAACCTAAATTAGCTATTAAAATTTAAATTGAGATGTTATATAAACCTCTTAAAAATATATTAAATACATTTAGGATTATTTATAACATCAATTGAGAATTTATGAAAATTTATTGTGAATTGCAAATCAATCATTTGTTATTTTTGGCTAACACTTAGAAAATTAATAAAAAATAGTTAAAAAATTTTGTAGCATTAATTGTAAATTTACTAAAGTCTATCAATCAATAAAAGATACTCTCTCCATTTAAAGATGTAAGGTATTCTTAATCAAATCTCACCCCCAATAAAATAATTAATTACTTTTTAAATTAATCCTATCTTTTCATATTTATCCTTATTAAATATCCTACAATAAATATAAAATTATTCATCAATAAGGGTACTTTTAAAAAAAGTTAATGATTACACATCAAAATATTAAAAATGTCTTACATTTTTTAACATCCAACTCCTCAAAAAATACCTTATATTTTTTAACTGAGAAAATAATTTATTACAAACAAAAATCATGATCTATTATTAAAATTTTAATAATTTAGAATTTGCAATTGTCATTAATATTCTTATAGATTGTTATCTTCCCATATAAATTTAGTGGGGCTAAAAAAATAGATAATAACAATAATTTTGCGTGGGACAATTTTCCCCTTTAATTAAATATTATAATATATTTTTTACATTTAAAATTATAAAATATTGTTAACTAATTTATTCTATTAATAATTTAATCATCAATGATATTAAAATTAAATACTTTTATATGTATATTCTTATTAAATAGAGTGTTTCAATTTAAAAAATATTATTAATTACTTTCCAATTAAAAGATTTTTTAAATCTTATTTATTATACTTTAAAAGACTTAAAATATTTTATATTTTTTAACATGATAAAGTATTTCAGAAAAAAAATATTTTAAAACTGAACAAAGAGTAATGAAATACATAAATTACAAAAAAAGTCTTAAAATCAATTATTGGGATCATATTTATTGAAAAATAGGAAAATGGAGTCAATCCATATAAAAGTTATATGATTTAAATTTAATTTAATTTACTGTTATGATTTTTTGTTGTTGTAGCAATCCATATTGGTATGATTTTACAACTTATTTCTGAAAAAAAGTAGCACGGGTGGGTCTAAGGCACAGTGGGAGGGTTAAAACAGTGCAAATTAAATGGGAAGCACCGCCTTATGAGTGGGTAAACTTGAACATGGGAATTTTTTCCAGGCTTGAAGCTGGATTTTGGTCTTGGAGCATATATTATGGTCTGAAAGTGATTTGCAAAGGGAATCTGCACAATGGCATCTGAGACATGATCTTAATTTTATCAGTAATCCTTCCATATTAAAATTGACCATGTATTAAGCATACTATTATGTGTGCCCACTCGCTTGCTCATCATACTATTGAGCAATACCAGAGATGCAAAATTATTATGAAGTCGCTTATGAGCTCTTAAGCCTGCTGTCTCAAGATGCTTCGGGAGATCCTCATTCTCGTTTCATTTCTAGTTTAATAATGTAGTTTGGGCTTTCTCCAATTTTCGACCAAAAAGACTAGATATTGAATTTAAAATAAAAGATATTACTTGTCTAATATTTTTTTAAAAATTATCGTTTAAAATTTTCTAAATCTGGACTGTAATTAGCGTTGCCTGACTTGGAGCACTAAATTGGACTGGGGGCAAAAATAAAAGGTGGTCTTGTTTCCAAATGATTCGCAAGTTTACTTTATTTATATAGTCGCCGTCAAGCGCCCGGTGGTTCATTCTTAAAATACAAAAATGACGCGTCGTGAGCTAGTAATCAGCATAGAGATAATATGAAATGGAGGATGCCCGGATGGACAAGATCCGAAGTTAAATTTGCCGGAAAGGAGCCATAAGATGCATCAAATACAGAAGGATTACTCAAGCCTGGAAGCATCAAATAGTGAAAAGACACGTTTTGAGAGAACCTTGACTTACAGATAAGTTTCGCCCATATTCACTCCTGTTTAGACGGAGGTGTTCTGTAATAAGCTGGGACAGTTGCAGGGAAGAACATCTGGCGAACTCCTTCAGCCTTGACTATGGGGAAGATTATTCCTGAAGCACTCTGCAAGACTCAAAAAAATCAGAGCCACAGAAGGCAATCGTATTTATTCATTCTATTGAAACGAGGTTCATGGGCTTACGGATATCAATCGTGCTCCGATCCAAACCCGATTGGGCGAGGGATATGGAATCAGCAAACGGCCAACACCGTATATTGCAACAGCGAAGAAATGGAGAACCAAGCTCAAGGGGCGGGGATTCAATCCAGAAAGTAACGAAATTGGTCCTTCCGAGAATACACCTCCAAGACTTAAATAGTCAAAGCATGCTTGGCGCATTTCACTCCTCGCCTCGTCAGGAGATGCACTAAATACCTTGTACAGGGCTCCCGCCAACGTATTTATAGTGGATGCCACTGGCTGCCATTTTAAATCATGAGGATACTTTTATCGCCTTTGCTACTTAGTACTTAATTTCATTTGCAAGAAGAGCACAAGGCTTGACAATTGCATCTCTGAGCAATGTGAAGGATTAGAATGCTTATAGAAGGAGGGGAGGTGAAAATTACCTTCCGCAATGTATAAAAGGACTCGAGATATTTGCAAAGCGTGGATGCATCGTTTAGGTCACGCAAAGGCTTGAGAAGATTCCGGAGCACAACTATATCAGACAATGCCACAGTCATTCCTCCCCCAGTTAGAGGATGGCGCATGTTGAATGCATCTCCCATCAGAAGGGCTCCAGGAGTAGGATAAGGGGCTGCCGGCATGCTTCTGTTTGGCATTGTCCTCACATTGCCTTTCTCCACCGCGGCTATAAAGGCATCATGAAGCTCAGATGGGATCTGCACCACACGATTGTGAAACAAGATACCAATCGCTGAATATGAAGAAAAATTCTATTATCAATGGAATTAAAGTAAATGCATTGGCAACTGGCAAGGTGAAAACACAAAGAAACTTCTATCATATAGAGCTACCTGTGGAGCTACCATTGTCTTCAAATACCTAGTCATTTCACCGTTCGAAATTGAAGGAACCTTCTGACCAGGTACATCAACGAGACAGCGAATCTCCGTTCTACTTATAGGATAAAACAAAATTGGCGAAGGATCTGCTAGGATAACATGGCCATGGTTTGCATATGGAAGTTCACAATTTTCCAAAATTAAACCAACAAAACAGGAGGGAACTTCTACCTGGAAAAAGAGTACGATATAACTTTTAGCGATTTTATAATTATTAAAATAAAATTGTTAAACATGGTAGCTGTCCAAAAGCACTGAAAGAAAGATAGCGACAGCTTAACTTAAAATTTAGATGTCATAGGAGAAAGACGTTGAACAATGCAGCTGGTTAAACTTGATCAAACATTTGAGCTAAAAGAGCATTCTCACCTTGGGATTACAAAGAGAACGACGCAAGTTTGAAAAACACCCATCACAAACAATGGTAAGAGGAGCATAAGCTGAAAATTCTTGGCCATCTTTAGTCTTGTAATGCACACCTCTAATTGTCCCATTCTCTTCAAGTAGGGAAGTAACTGTTCCTTCCGTCAATTGTACACTACAGATTAGAAGAAATATCACATCATGTTCACAACGAAGGGAAACCTATTGGTTTGAAAGAACAAAAATGATATTAAAAGACTTTGAATATCATATCAAAATTGTATTGTTGAGCCCTATAGGCTGTCTGAATATACTAAGAGACACCAAAGAAATCAGTTTTAACAAAGTATATTTTTAAATCAAACTTGGAGCTGGCTAGCAAGGACTGTCAATACACAAAAAAGAATGAGTCATATATTGGTATTATCTGCAAGAAACTGAACTATACGCACTTGGGAAGGGAGGCAGCCTTCTCCCTCATCCTCTGAATAAAACGCCCATTGTGAAAGCTTCTTCCAGAAACATTTGAGTGAAACTTCTCCAATGGATAAGGGAGTCGAGTATTTTTTCCATCCTTGTACAGAGCATAACCAAACACTTGCTGAGCATCAATTTCCTGCACACAATCTAAGCAAAGCACAAGGCATGATCATTTGGTAAGGGGGCTTCACTCTAACTCAGAAATGGCGCTGCTTTTCTTATGTTTATTTCTAATATTTAGGACCAAGCACAATGCTTAATACAAATTAATATTTTTTACAGAATTAAGTGCGTAATACCTTCAAGCCCCAGCTCAATTAGTTTGAGATAGCCCCCAGGTTGTAGCAACTCCCCAACAATTCGGTCGGGCTCACTCAAATCTCTTTCTATGACATGTACTTGCCGTCCATCCTCCAATTCATAATACATAATCAGTATATAGGAGTTTAAAACTGTGTGTGTTAAATCGCATGGGTTAACTACACAAAGAACAATAGCTATCAGACATAAACAGGATAAAAAAGAGGAAGACGTATAATTGCACAATCCAAGGCAAAAGTCAATTCCCTTGTGTGACCAAATTTGTAGGAAGTCCAAGATCAGTTTACAAGATTTACTCCTCCCTCCAAAAAAGGGTGATCATTATTTGTAAGCAGAGTAGCGAAACAATCATACCTTAAGGGTAAGAAAAAACAATGAAGAAAGAAGAAAAAATTTCTATTGCAAAATTCAAGGCAAAGGCCAGTTCTTTTATGCGATCAAATTTGCTGAAAGTCCAAGATCTGTTCACATGACTTCAACTTCAAGAACAAAAGAAGTGTGTTGCAAAGTTCAAGGCAAAGGTCAGTCAGTTCCCTTGTGTGATCAACTTTGCAGAAAATCCAATATCAGTTCACAAGACTTAGTCCTCTCTTAAAGAAAAAGGTGATCATCTTCTTCACCTGACAACTGTTTAACTCTTCAAGTGATTGGGATGTGTGTGAAAATACAAGTTCATTTTGCTACTGAAACTAGCTCCTGCTGCGAGAAGAATACACCTATTATCTAAAATTTTTGGGGAAAACAAAATGATCTTTAACTGCTATAGGAAGAGCGGTGGATGGCTAGTTTCTCTCGGTCTTGCTTCTTTAGCATTGAAAAACAATAGTACATAGTAAGCTGGTGTTACTTGTCCACGCACAGAAACACAACTACCGGAACCCATACCAAGGGGAAATAGTAATTTTAGTTCAGTAGAAATCACATAGTTGAGTGTGTTAGCGGAGACAGGCGTAAGATCTTTCATTTGGAAAACCATATCAACATAGTTTTACTGAAAATCAGTTCATCAATTGAGTAGTTCTAGTTCCTAATTAAAAATTCTTCAAGTTCACCGAAGAAAAAGGAAAATTATTTCCTAAATCCCTTCTGAATCTGCTGTATGACCATAGAAAAATCAAGGACAAGAATAGCAATAAGAAATTATTTTTTGATGCATGGTATGGCGTAAGTAAAATGGCAGCAACTTCTTATGGACACGGAAAGTATGCTTTGCTTTCGTTTGTTGATTACCGCCCAGTTTGCTCATTATTAAACATCGTAAATGAATCTTTATAGCATTACAACTTAATCTTCTTCGTTCAAAATCCACAAATTTAAAGCATATCCAGTAACATGAATTATACAATACATCCATCGCCAGTAAAATCAGTAACTAACAAGCCATTTCCTCGTCGCAAGTAAAATGGCGAAGAAAAGGGAAAAGACGGTAAATTAAAAATACCTTGCCAAGAGTGTGCGCCAGGGCAGAGCCAGCAACCCCAGCTCCGACGATAATGACGTCAATCTTACCGCTGCTTCTGTCAATCGATCTGCATTCTCCGGCAGCAGTGGTTATGCTAGCCATGCACTGAGGTGAAGCGACGGCAGAAACAATGCGGCTTTTCCTGGCAAAGACCAAATTGTAGAGGGCAACCAAGGCGAGCAAACCAGAGCAAAAGATCCAACCAAGAGTGTACTGATCTGCCATGTCGGAATGGGGATCCGAGACACCTCCAGGAACGACGACGACGGTCGAAGTAGGACAAGAACGGCGGCGAGGCCCTTGGCTCTTGCAAATTGCTTCGATGGCCGCTTTGTGCCTTTTTTGAAGTTTCGGTTACTCAACTTAGGGGCGTTCACGGACGGGATGGGACCGAGACACTCCCGTCCCACGTCCCGTCCCGAAAAAAAAAAAAAAAATTGAGATTGAATTTTTAATTCCGTATCTCGTTCCGTTCAAAAAGTCGTTCCGTCCTGTTAAGAGTCAAGACGGGATCGGAACAAGATCAGGACGTCTCACCGTCCGATAAATAAAATAATATTGAAAAAAAATCTGAATAATAATGTTCATTAAAATTTTAAATTATATAATTTATTAAGTTTAAAATCAAAATAACACAAGTACATAAATAATAATAATTTAAAATCAATTATTGAATTATATTAATCACAACTACATATTATAATAAAAAATATAAGTGATCTTTATGCTATAAGATTAACAACAACAGGCAAGTCAAACACAACATCAAATAATTGTTCTTCTACTTTAGTAAAGATGTACTAAGCTAATTACTCTTCTAAAAATAAGCAAGAAATATGTTATAAATAAAATTTATTAAATAAATAGATATAAAAATAAATTATATTAATATAATTAATATATTATAAAAAAGATATCGCCATATTTACTCCATGCCATTAAAATTATCAATATAAAAACACTTTAGTTTTAAATAAGAATTGTAAGTATTAAAATTATAATTGATATAATTAATATAAGTATAAATTATATTAATATAATTAATATATTTAAAATAAAAAATAATATATATAACATTTGGGACGGGACAGGACGTCCCGATGGTAATCCCGTGTCCCGTCCTATCCTGAACCTTTTCCTGTCCCGTCTCATAAAGTCCCGTCTTGATTATTTTCAGACCGGGACAAGACCCGTCTCGATATATTGGAACGATATCGGCCAATCAGGACGGGTTCAGATTGAACACCCCTAAGTCTCAACTGAGCAAAACCGGAAAACAAGGACGGGTCACGGGGCTGCATTTTATTTATACATGGCCTTGGTCGCACCGCTCAATCATGCTCATTTTGCGCTCATCATTACACAGGTCTCTCGTAGCTTCGCAGAGCGTCAAGATTCCCTCAATTGGAATCAACTTTTCCGGACTATAAAATTATATATAACTCCAATATTATTTATTCTAAAAAATTTATTTTAATTTTATTTATAAGATATGATATGTTTTTTTAAGTAATATTTAAAAAATATTTTTAAAATTATTCTTAATGAATGAAAAAAAATAACATAACATCACTTTTTAAATTTTTTATATAAGGATATATTTAAAATTTTATACAATTTTTTTTGTATTGATATTAATAGGTAGAAATTAATAATAAAGAAGGCGAGTACTTGCATGTACAAAAATGAATAAATACACTGAGAATCAACATAACTGAGGTTAATCAGTGGTATCCTGCGCAGTTCTTGCCAATTAGCGAATTAGAATTACTTGTGTTTGTGTGGGTGGTTGTGTAATCGTTGCTTTTAATTAAATACTTTCCCTCCGTCTTATATTTATATAACGAATTCAAATCACAATTCGACAATGATACAAGAGATCGACATCTTCTTCAGGGAGGGGGTGACAGGATGTGTTTGAAATATTTTTCATGAGTTCTAAAAATAATTATTATGCTGTTTTATTTGTTAAAAAATATCCCAACTTTTTAGCTATATTCTTATTAATTACAGGAAGATAATGAGTACTACCTTGTTATTCATGCAAATTCCTCCTCAAGTTAAAGAGTAAATCCTAGAAGATTATTTTTTTCTTTAACAACTTATAATTAAAACTTGTTTTTATTTTTTTAAAACACCTTATAAATTGGAGGAGAGTAATACAATTTTATTAATATTGAATTTGAATTTTCTGGAGTGTGTAATTATGTTGGACTTGGTCGCTCGAGTGCACAATAATGCCGGTAAAGTTAGAGTGGTCGTGAGCATTTTGTGTATATGATTTGATAATGTAGTATTGAATAGCAAATCATGGACAGAATTTAAAATTCTATGCATATCAGATTGGTTTGTTGGTTAGCTAATCACCGTATAGAAACCTAGCTGTCTCCGGTCAAACCATGGGTGCTAAATCAAGGGGCTTGTTCTCGCGGGTTGACTTAAATCATTTATTGAAATTTTGATTTGCCCATATTATATAATGTTTTCTTTGTGGTTTAAGATTGATGCTACGAGTTAATAACGATGTCCACAACGAAAATTCATGTTAGTGTGGGAGGTGATATAACACCTCAAATTTTTCACAAAACCAAGAGATGGAATTAAAAAATTGATATCATCATATTGAAGTGAATAAGCACAGGGTCCAGAGCAGGCGTGTGATCTATTTTATTTAATTTACAACGCGTGTGGACGAAACGGACCTAAATAAAAGGCTGCAGGTAAGCATAGATAATTAGATACCTCCGTCTGTGATCAAGACAAAACGTGAGAAACTGGTTTGGATTAATCTAGTGTCGAATCACTCATTTTTACACGACATTTTTTTACATTGTTTTTTTTAATACTTATTTTTTTAAATATTTTTTCATTTAATCTTATGGTTCTACAGTTTTCTAGATCTAGAAAATTAATTACTTTATGTTAATCAAATTTTAGTAGTATATGGAATATAAGGATATTCGATTAATACGGATGGAATTATATCTTATCTTTTGTTATAATTATTATAATGGGAATCATGCGGCATGACTTTTATTTTTATTTATAAAAAAAAAAGGTTTATGCTTTCACTTGTCTCTCAGGAGAGATATTCTTTCCTCTCTATAAAGCCTAATCCTTATACTTAAGAAAAAATAATTAATTTGACCTCTTGATATGGCTTTGTGATATTTGTATGTATATATATGAATAAACATTAAATATACAATTATCAATAGTATTTTTATTGATCAGATTCTTCAATTTAACATGATTAAGAGTGTAACTTTTATATAACTCAATATTACTCTTCCAATCCGGCAATCCCATTTAGATGGTACGTAGATAGAAAATATTTATTTTAATTTTATTTATAGGACATCTTTATAATTTTTGTATCTAGATAACATATCATTTTATCCTTATTGAATGATGAAATATTTTATTTTTAAAATATGTTTATTTAATAGGAATAGAGTCGAAGACTTGTTAAATTTTTAACCATAATTAATAAAGTTTAAGTTTTTTTTTAAATTGTAGTTAAATATTATAGAAGTGATGTATAAATAGAATTGATAGAAGAAGTACCACTTCATTAAATTTTAGCTAGCAAACATGTATTGAAAAAAGGGACACTACGGTCTATTTTGCATATAATTTGTTAAAATAGACTTCTTCTCAACATGTCTTGGTACATGTTATGGACATGGATGACGAATCTTTGCATTGCATGGTTATATATGAAGCAAGCAATGGGTACAAAACAGGGAGCACTTTGTTCCCGAAGCGTTAATTAATTAAGAACTCCGCACTACTTGTTCTCTGACATTAAACTTCACTCGTGAGTCCGAGTTATCTTCCATTCTTGAGGATAGCATATCATCAATCATGAAATCGTTATTCGATTCAGTAATGCAGGAGGGGGAAGTAAACGTGATATATTTTTGAGAATGCATGAGAATTATGTGATGTTTATTACTCGCCAAAAATAGATTATTCTATGTTTGACAATTTCATTTGGACCCAAATATTTGAGAACCGGGCAAGTTGAACAAAGCAGGCCGTCTGCATTTCTTGGGGAAGCCAGCAGGTACCACGCGGCATGCCTGGCGTGCCCTGCTTGCTTCTTCGCGTGACTCTTCTCCTGTTACCCTTTTTAATTTATATTTTTGAGAACAAGTAAATAAATTATTGATATTATCTAAAAAAATTAATTTATTTCCATTAAACATATTATCTTTTAAAATATTTTATCTCTCATGTAACTTTTTAATTTTTGTCACTAAAATTATAAAAGAATCAAATTAAAAAATAGTTAATAATCCTTCCTTTTCATTTAAAGACTTATAAAAATGATTGTGAATTGATTCTTTTTATAAAGTGACTTATATTACACTGATGTTCAAATGAATGTAACTGGTTGAAATTTATAAATTATATACTATTTATTGATGGTAGGGCCATGTAAGCTACTAAAGCCAATAAGGCCATCATTTTATGCCTCAAAAAATATTCACTTATATCTTATATAATTAATCATTATTTTTTTAAGCATAAATATTAATTACATGTTTTCGTTAAAAAATTATTGCCTACTTGTACTCTATGTAACCAATTATTATCTTTCTTTTTCTTTATTCTATTATTTGATGCCCTTAGCAATTAGAAAGTATTACAACCTCTCGTCTAAACTAATTCACCTCCATGGTAGTTGAGTCATTATCTTTTTATTAAATATTAATATTAATTATATTTTTTTCATTAAGAAATTATTGCTACCACTAAAAGAAGTTTTTTAAACCAATGGGAGTTAGATATAATGAAAAAGGCTAATCATTTATGATGTAATAAATCAAAGTTTGAATTCTCGTTAGGAGAAATATTCATATTTAGTATCCGACCATACCTTAAAGAAAGGATAACTATGAGTAATAAAAAAAAGTTTTTTAAAATTAAAATTACTTAAATTTTATTATGATCAATCATGTTATAAAATAGATTAAATTGTTTGCTATATTATTTATTGAAAGTGAAATGTTAGAATTATTTGATTATAAATTTTTAATATGTAATCTTGCTGTTCAAAAAATTAGATAAATGATAATACATTAGGCCTTTTAAATAATTTTCACTTTAGGCATCAAAATTTCTTCACACGGCCTGATTAATGGTTTATATTGATAATATTGGCAACAATCGATCTTATTAAAAGTTATCAAGTATCAAATGCTTCCATATTTTCACTGATTAAAAAATAGATATTTGGAAAATAGTGCATCATAAGTAATAACATATATATATATCAGCTTCCTAAATTTGTACTCCTTCACTTCTAAACATATATAGATAATTGATTTATATAAATTTAGAAAATTG